TTAATGATTTGACTGGCTATTCATCGATCCACTACAGCAGGAATGCACAACGAAATTTAAGCAAAATTACCAAAAATATTTGCAGATCGACGGATGTAGCGAATCGAAGCATAATTTTTCATTTCCCTATTCCTCTCCAATCAAGTTTCAACACACAACACGATCTACTTACCTCACTACCGTGAAGCATCATTTTGAAACGATCAAAGCAATAGAACGTCTGATCATTGGCATCCTCCAGCTCTGCATATTTCTCAGCAGCTTCGAACCCAAACTTGACAAACTTCTTCTGCGGGTTTAGCAGTATACAGGTCGGTGTTTTCAGGGTAGAGTATCCTTGAGCACTTCCCCATTCTCTGTTCATGTAAATGTCATCACTTCCGTCTATGTGGTTAAAAGAGAAAGCAAACCCACTGAAAGATGTTCCAAAGTCGATTGCGGTTACGACATCGTATTTCTCTTTCAACAATTTTCGTCCAGATGTTTCGAGACGTAATGCCCTAAAACACCTAAATGCTCTTTCTTCGTCCCAGTCAGCCATAGCCATCTCAAGCCTGTTGGCGTGTTAGATTCAAGTTTAACACAATCTTTTAGCTTAGCGGTGTGCATGCGATACAACTTAAAGATGCACTCAGTATACGGTTCGCGACCCTCACGGCCACGGCTTACAAGCCAGGGAAAATTCCCTCTTTTTATTTGTCGTTCTTAGAATTCGTGGCCTTTTATGGTTGTGAGTAGAAAGAATCCTTGCGTGACAGCTTTTCCTAGAAACTTCAGCATTGTTTTTCCCCCTCAAAAAAAACAGCGATACTATTACTATGTGACATTGTTTCAACTATGGAATCTTCCAGTGTCATCTTTCGTGCTGCCTTATAAGGAAATTTCTGCATCATATTCCTTTCCTAGAAATCTGTGCATTACAGAAATGTTGCATAAACATAGAAGAGGGGATAAATTAGTAACTGACTGATTTTGAAGTTTGGATGCAAGTGGTAAAAAAGCTTAATTTTATGCTCGTGTACAGCTGTAAATGGGGACTGTTTTGTCCTATTTTACGGGAAAATTAAGCTCCTCGAGAATAGAAACAGACCCATTTGAAGAGATGGCGCAGAGTAGGCATCATACCACTGTAGTGTCGATGTCTCAAAATAATATCACGAGATACATGTCCGCGTTTCAAGTTGTCCAAGAGTTTCTGGATAATGGCGGAAGCATAATGGAACGCCAAAGAATGCTAGAGTCTGAACTAGAAACTTGCCACGAAAGGTATGGGCTCGGTATCAGTAATGTCAACTGACAGTTTATTTAAAATGGTCGGATTAGTAAACTGCTTGAAATTTTGCTTGCGTCGTCTGCAAGGCAACACTGGGAGAGTCATATAAAGCCACTGTATCACTAGCTATCACTAGAAGCGCTAGCAAGGTAAACATTGCAGTTTTTTAAGCCCTGGTCAAACGTCGCATGATAGTCGTCGATACGTGATGATGATAGCCCATGATAGTTGAAATTCGCCCTCTCCCGTTTGATTGCCAACTTTCCCTGTCATGCAAAATCACCGACTGTCGTTCAAGTCGCGACGGTCCAACCCAAGGAATACTTTTAATCAATGCACTGCATCATTCTCCCATTATTCTGAAGGTTGCGACGATTCACCGAAGATCATGCTCGCGTAAGTGAAACTGGTAATGAGAACATTTCCAGTTCCAACCGACCCTCGACACTGGAAGGAAAGTACAAACAGTTCTATGATCACGAAAGAGTGGATGCTATCGACTGTATCGAAAGCTCACGAATTAACAAGGAACGAAGCAAATGGAATGAAGCAGACGACCAATATGTCGCGTGCATGATTTTCGAGGTAAATTAAACACTCATAATGGCGCGTTATACCTAGCACAAGAGAGACTTTGGTGATTTCAGTCGCTATTGTACTTTAATGGGGAATTTTATTGTTGGTAGAGTTAAACTTGTGTTTTTAGTAATTCTAGCTTTCAATCGTTTTGTGTGATCGCTTTTGTTTATATACTTTGGTAAAAATTTAATGTGGGTAGTTCCACCCCATAGTGATACGTGGAAACACTGCTACTTAACCGTTACTATTATTAATTTCTTATTATGACTTTCTCAGTTGTTCCACTTTGAATGCAATACTGCTGTAATACCTCAGCTATACTCATTATCAGTGGACACCATTAGAAGGTAGTCTGGGAACCGCGCTAAAGATAACCTAGGAGTAAGGCCTGTATAAACTCTCCGGTACCCTTCAACCTCTCCTACTTCTGTTTGTTTTAAACGAGAAAGGAAATATATAAAAAGGTTATAAAGATATAAAGACAGAAGGTAAATGTAACTTGAGTTTTACACACTAAGCGATCATCAGACTAGATGTTTGTCTGAAAAGATGCCATTTATAAACTTTGAAATCACGAACGGTTGGAACTACGCTTTCTCTGATTGAATGCTGTGAAAAACGTGTTTTCATGGAAACATTTGGTTACGAGCTCAGATTGTTTTGTTTAGTAAGGAAACATCGCGAGCGGTCAAGATACAGAGTCTTTCACATAGAAACAGATTGCAGCGGGATGGAATGCCTTTGTATGACTTTTCCTTCTTGATGATTCGCCATTTGATTTCGTAGCTTGTGTTGTTGTCTTTTGGGTCTCAGATGTGTTTCGAAAGCACAGTGAACTACAGCGGTGTCATGTAAATGTTTACATCGTCTTTGAAAGAGAGTTTGTGATTGTTGTACTTTGTTTTAAAATCATCAGTGTTCTGTCATTCCAATGTAGATTACAATGTGCGTTACCAGATGTTGTGAATGTAGCTTGATATGTATGGGTTATTGACCAAGTGTGAGGTCAAGATGGCTGGATATTGGCCAAGTTCTTTTTGCGCGTGTTTATGGACCGAGACGGAGTCGAGGTCCATAAATTCGCAAAAAAAGAACGAGGCCAATATCCAGCCATCTTGACCGAACAAGCTTGGTCAATANNNNAGCTCCATCTTGCTTGCTCGGGTAGCCAATCACAGCGCAGGATTTGATTCATCTTGCCCGCTCACGGAGCTAGCCATATAATAATAAAAGGGGAACAAGGCCAGTATCAAGCCATCTTGACCAAACAAGTTTGGTCAATAAAGGATTTATTATATGGCTTTCGGGAAATTTTTTCTTGCGGGACCCGGCGGGTAGTCCCGAGCGGGCAAGATAGCGCCATCTTGCTCGCTTGTAATTCATTATTTTTAAAGACCACAAGGAGAACTTTGAAAACAACCCAGAGTGCAGATTGATCAAATCCGCAAAAAACAACCTTGGCCTGATAAGCAAGCAGATTTTGGACAGGATCAATAACCGAATTAGATCCAAAACAAAGTGCAATCGGTGGAGAAACTGACAAGGTCGGTGATTGACTGGTTTTCTAACATCAATGAAAAGAAGAAACATTAATTCCTGATTTTCGATATCGTGGATTCGTATCCATCCATGTCGGGTGAGCTACTGAAGCTATCGCTAGAATATGCAAAGCAACACGCCACCATTTCAGAGCAGGACGTTTAGATCATCGTGCATTCTAGGAATACACTGCTGGTTTGATGAGAATGATCCCTGTGTCAATAGAGGTGATTCCCCCATGTTTGATGTTGAAATGGGCTGTTATGATGGGACCGAGGTTTGCGAACTTGTTGGCCTTTTTATCCTGCACAAACTGTCATCAGCCTTTCCGCAAGGTAAAAACGGCTTATAGAGGGACGATGGACTAGCGGTTTTCAAAAACATGAACGCAAGATCTGGTGATAGGGCCAGTAAGATGCTTGGGGAAATCCTCGGAGATCTGGGTCTTAGGATCACAGTACAGAGCAACTTGAAGGTAGTTAATTACCTAGATCATGTCTCGGTTAAACTGAAAAGCGGAAAATACTGCCCGTTCAGAAAGCCTGACAACAACCCGTTGTACATCAACGCCAAGTCCAACCACCGTCCGTCCATAATTAGGCAAATTCCGGATCAATAAGCATGAGAGTATCGAGCTTATCTTGCAACTCAGAAGAGCTCGACTAAACCTCTTCGACAAAAACTGCAGCAACGATGCTCTAAGATCCAGCGGGTACAAAGAAAACATCCAGCATGTGGAAAACTAAACCCAGGGAAACGGCAGAAGTAAGAAAAGATTAAGAAACATAATCTGGTAAATTTAGTTAGCATCGGGCAGGCGAAGAGCCACCCTGTGGATATACTGCCCGAAATGCCATTATTATTATTATTATTATTATTATTATTATTATTATTATTATTAGATACGGAAACATGTTTTACAGGTTTAACAGACATCAAATTAAGTAAATATTATAGCATTTTGTAAAGCTTAGCTCTAGTTTTTGTCACAATAAACACTCCTTTTTCATTATTTTATTATTATTATTATTATTATTATTATTATTATTGTTATTATTATCTGGTTTAATTCGCCTTACAGCCAAAATGTTCAGACAAATGTCGGAAAATCATTCTTACACTTGATTGATAAGCATTTCCCAAAGTCCCATGACTCCACAAGATATTTAACAGAAATAATTTCAAGGTCAGCTACAGCTGCACAACTAGCATGGCGAACATAATAAAGAACCGCATCCAGAAAATCTTCAACTGCAGCAATGAGGTTACCAACCCAAAAAATGCAATGAATTGCAGAAATAAAAAGCTTTGCCCTCTCGACGGACAATGTCTCAATAGTAACATTATATATCAAGCTACGGTCGCAACAACATCTGGTAACACAAGGACCCACATTGAAATGACAGAACATGATCATAAAACAAGGTAAAACAATCACAAACACTCTTTCAATGACCGAAAACATTTACATGACACTGTAGGTCACCGTACTTTCGAAACATATCTGAGACCTAAAAGACAACAACAGAAGCTACGAAGCTCTACGAAATCAAATGGCGAATCATCAAGAAGGAAAGGGCGGACAAAGGCATTCCATCCCGCTGCAATCTGTGTCTGTGAAAAACTCTACATCTTGACCGCTCATGATGTTTCCTTACTAAACAAGAAATCTAAGCTCGTAACTAAATGTCGCCATGAAAACCGGGCAAGTTTTTCACGGGTAACCCGAAAACACTGACCCCCGGTCCACGGACCCCCACTACGGACCGGGTCCGCCGCGGACTACCTATGNCCCCCCCCCCCAAAAAAATCGAATAAAAATAGGAAACAAATATTTCACTTACGAATTGTCTAATAGATTACTCGTGTCGGCAAGATTTCGAACGTTACAGTGTGCAAATGTAGCATTCTCGGGTTCAGGCTCGGGCGCAAGTCATATCATTACACATTGCCATTTCCTTTACTGTGGCCAAACAGTATATGAAAAACCGGGAAGCCTCCTCGAAATTTGTGCTCTTTCCTCTCTGCCATTTTGTTCAGCCCATTCTCGCGGGGTAACCCGAAAACACTGATCCCCGGTCCGCGGACCCCCACTATGGACCGGGTTCGTGGGCTGGGCTGAACAAAATGGCAGAGGGGAAAAAGCACAAATTTCGAGGAGGCTTCCCGGTTTTTCATATACTGTTTGGCCACAGTAAAGGAAATGGCAATGTGTAATGATATGACTTGCGCCCGAGCCTATTTTTTGTGTAGAGCACTCTTAGGAGAAGTGAAACAATTCATTCACTGTTTATCCATTTATATTAAAGGCTAAATAGATTTTTGATCAGCTACTTCTTGTTTATATATTTGTAGGAGTCTTTTACGGCAGCCCAGAAGTTGAGAGAAGGCTTCCTTCAAGGTGTTTCTTGTATTTTGACGTCAGCTCCTTCCATAGGAGCTCAATTCCTTGAAAAAAAGACCAACAATGTAATTATAGCAGTTAGATATTCCCAACGGGAGCCATCACTCCCAAACGCCTGCATAAATTATGGGAGAAAGTGAACCTGGAGGTCAAAAGGGGTGGGAGCTCATACTGAATTCAAATCGTTGATGCGGGGAGGAATAATTGAGATAATCACAACCTGCGCAATTTGGATAATAAACACTTCCGTGGGCTATAGATTCACGGGAAAAAAGATCTTGGATTATGGAGACAAATGGAAAGATGTAGAGTTTGTACTTGGTGGCCCCAGTGAGAAAAGAACACTGTGACAAAATTGTTCAACCCGATTATTAACTCAATAGTAATTTCAATATGGCGCTTGTCTGCTGTTTTCTTGTAGAGTACATCTGCCAATGTTTGCTTTTCTGTCAAAACGGACAGCAACTGTCAACTCAGTTCACTCGGCCAAAGCAGTGTGAACAGCTTGAAAGTGATCATGAAAGAGACTGCAGAAACTTGCGACATCAACGCCCTTGTACAGGTAACCGAACATTTAACCCAACGTGACTTCGTTCCCATTGTTTATTAGAAAGAGCGAACACGGCACACTATATTTGCTCCTAAAAGGTTAACATATTTCTTCTCTTTTTTTCTTCTTTAAAACAGAGAACGTTAAACGCTCTTCATAAGCGTCAAGAAAAAGGAGTATTCCAAGTCTACTCGGTAGATTTTCTTACAAAGAAACCAATAATAAAGTACGTGGAGAACTGCTGCAGATATGCGTGGAAGCTAGTGTGTCAGACGCCACCTTATAGATTACAAGGAAACTCGTTCGTACTAAAATCGGATGTTGTCTTTGATCCAGTTTTTCACCAGGTTTCCAGAGAGTTCGCCTCTGCCGAGCATAACTCAGGGCGCATTGAATTTGTAGTTTGGCCTGGTTTATTTGAAGGATCGTCTGGCAGAGTAATTCGAAAGACGGAAGTGGTATTACGAGCGCGTTGAGAACATGACAACTTGTAATAGTGTACCTGTGGTGCAATGTCCTGAAGCCCAGTAGATTAGCAGCATATTTGTCATAGGTACAGTAACTGTGAGGGAACAGGGAGTGTGTTTGTAGCATGGAAGTTTATTGACTTTGTTATAGGTGACAAATGCGCTTTAATTTTCTTGATTTGATAGAAGTAAGGTTTACCCATTCAACCGAAACGTTGTATGTGAAACATAGCTATCGTTCATAAGAAGAGGGGCATTGCATAACAAACTTTATATATATCATGATTATAGTCTCTTGATAACAGGCAAGGCCAATGAAAAGCACAGTTAATTAACCACACGAACAGGGCTGGGATGGCGAGCCTGGGATACATTTAGTACTGAACACTTGTTCCCCTATATTCGGACAAGGCTTATCAATGGGGCAATTTCGATATATTTTAAAACATGACACCTGCTGCTTAGGGCCCCAGGGACAAAATAAATTGTTTATTCCGTTTTTGCCTTGTCCTCAATATGATTTCTTTTGTTTTAGGCCTCGGAGCCAAGTTAGAACTAACTGTATCGAGATTGGCCTATTCTAGCTAGGAAAAGCTTTAAACCACCGCATTAAATATCGAACACTCAGTAGTAAAAAAATAGTTGCACAGCGGAAAATGTTTGCTCGTGGATCATCCCATTTACCAACCTCGGCTTCCTTTTTTCCCATGGCAAAGACAATTTTAGATGAGACTAAAATAAAAAATAAAAAAATGTATATTTGTTTCTAGTTCACTCTCATGTGTCTCATTCAACTTGCTCATTAACCAACGTTTGACCGATTTTCCCGCCGTTCATGCAGTGGCTTCGTTTAGAACATAGCAGTCAATGCAAGCGCGCGCGAGGCGTTGCCATGCAACACACCGGAAACCGAAAAAAAAAAATATGGGAAAATATCGCCAGGACATTTCCAGTAGCATTAAACTCGGAATATTCTTGAGGAAGTATTAGATTTAAGATCATGACATTGCCAAACCGCCGGTTAAACCAAGTACCTGGAACACACAGAACAATTTTGCAGTTTTTTACCATGCCATGCTCAGCCTTACCCTTTTCAACTCTGAGCACTTTGAGAAGAGTAAAAACGAAAGAAGCCAAGCTGAAAGAGTCTCGTTAGTTCCAGCGAGGCTAACCAAGTAGTGATGAATACACCTCATTCCATGATTTGACGAAAAATACGGAACGGATATTTTAAGAAAAACGTTATGTAGCAGAGAGCAACAATTAAAATATCCGTCGCGCTATTTGCCAAACCACCCTACAAGGGATTCATATTATCGGAATGTTTTATTTTTCTGGTATTTCAGAATCTTTTTTACCTGTTTTGCCCACATTTTTTGTCTTTCTTGAATTTATACGATGAAAATATCAAGCACCAACCCACAACTAACTTATTGAGGGGATTGACTCATTGCCCTGCATGACCTACTGTGTACCATTGATCAAATTGCTTAACTCCCATTTGGCTGGCCCCACCGCCATCTTAGTTTATTTCTGACACAGTGCCCGGAACAGAGGAATCAGTAAATTATCTCGTTATCTGTCTAACAGTAAATGTGAGAATTGTTTTACAACGAAAGGGTGTGATTTATACAATAAAGACTCGGGTCGTGGAAAACATAACAGTTGAGACAAAAACATAAACAGTTGAGAAGTAAAAAAGAACGATTGGTCCTCATTCAGGTCACAGTCTTTTTCGGAGAACGGGGCATTCGATTTCTTAAAAGTGGCTGTCACAGTTAAAAGGACTGAATAATACCAAACATGTC